TGGAAACGTATCGATTTATTTTTTTATCGGATTAGTAATTATACAAGTTCACATAGAGTAGGAGCTGAAAACACTCCTTAAACCTAGAGAAACGGGGATTAGGGTTCACGCTTTATCGAGAGCAGAATAGCAAAAACGAAATTTCAATAGCTTCAAAAGTTATTTTTAGCTCTGAAAAGTAAAGCAAACTTGGATTTTTCAATTGCTTATGAATACATTCAAGGGATATATTTTGAGTGTTTATTAAGAACATCTTTCATATAAAAGCCGACAGTCGTAATTTTTTTTGATAAAATCTTTGATTTCCTGGCTATCCTGGAACAGTTGTTAACGATTTTTTCAAAAATTTGAACTCCTGTCAGGGTTCCTAGACGGCTCCTTCCAGGAATTACAGGATTGCACTTGACCCTTAAGTTCCTGGAAGGAAGTCTATGGTTTTCCCCTGGCTTAGTAACCTGGGTTAACAAGACTCTGAAGGTGGTTATTTTTACAGATTAGGGATGTAATGGCCAAATGCTCAGCAGAAATGATCGTCATCTTGTCCGCGGCATAATAGCCTCTAAAAACTTGAGAATGAAGCCCACTTGAAGATGTTTACAATTCGAGTCATTAAAAACTTTTGATTATCATTATGAATAGACAAAAAGCAGGAAAAGCGGCTTGTAGATTGGTCATTGTCTTCATAAGCGCAAAACTGGACAAACCACAGATGGAAAAAACTTAAGTCTCCTTAGGGTCTATAATGCGAGCTCGAACGAAACTCAACCGCCCAAAGTGAGCAAACACATGCTTGATTTTTTTCGACGAGGACATCGAAACACCGCGGAACGGTGACAAGTCTCAGCGTTGACCCAAACGTTATTCGAGGAAAGGAGCTGAAAATTCTTCAGGCATTTGGTGTTGTTCTACTGTTCGCCACTAAAGCGCCAAAACTCCTATAGGAACAAGGATGCTCTCCTAGTGTACAACACGACAATTCAAATTTGATTCAAAATGATGTCTGCAAAAATTAAATCAACCCACAGGCTTCACCGAGAGCAAAATATAGCTCCGAATCAGTGTGAATGTATGTGTGCCCCCATGTGTGTCTGTTTGTGTGCCCCTATGTGTGTCTGTATGTGTGCCCCTACGTGTGTCTGTATGTGTGCCCCTATGTGTGTCTGTACATGTGCCCCTACGTGTGTCTGTATGTGTGCCCCTACGTGTGTCTGTATGAGTGCCCCTATGTGTGTCTGTACATGTGCCCCTACGTGTGCCTGTATGTGTGCCCCTATGTGTGTCTGTATGTGTGCCCCTATGTGTGTCGGTACATGTGCCCTTATGTGTGTCTGTATGTGTGCCCCTACGTGTGTCTGTATGTGTGCCCCTATGTGTGTCTGTATGTGTGCCCCTATGTGTGTCTGTACATGTGCCCTTATGTGTGTCTGTATGTGTGCCCCTATGTGTGTCTGTATGTGTGCCCCTATGTGTGTCTGTATGTGTGCCCCTATGTGTGTCTGTATGTGTGCCCCTATGGGTGTCTGTATGTGTGCCCCTATGTGTGTCTGTACATGTGCCCTTATGTGTGTCTGTATGTGTGACCCTATTTGTGCCCCTACGTGTGTCTGTATGTGTGCCCCTATGTGTGTCTGCATGTGTGCCCCTATGTGTGTCTGTATGTGTGCCCCTATGTGTGTCTGTACATGTGCCCTTACGTGTGTCTGTAAGTGTGACCCTATATGTGCACTTATGTGTGTCTGTATGCGTGCCCCTGTGTGTGTCTGTATGTGTGCCCCTACATGTGTCTGTACATGTGCCCCTACGTGTGTCTGCATGTGTGCCCCTATGTGTGTCTGTATGTGTGCCCCTATGTGTGTCTGTACATGTGCCCTTACGTGTGTCTGTAAGTGTGACCCTATATGTGCACTTATGTGTGTCTGTATGTGTGCCCCTATGTGTGTCTGTACATGTGCCCCTACGTGTGTCTGTATGTGTGCCCCTACGTGTGTCTGTATGAGTGCCCCTATGTGTGTCTGTACATGTGCCCCTACGTGTGCCTCTATGTGTGCCCCTATGTGTGTCTGTATGTGTGCCCCTATGTGTGTCTGTACATGTGCCCTGATGTGTGTCTGTATGTGTGCCCCTACCTGTGTCTGTATGTGTGCCCCTATGTGTGTCTGTATATGTGCCCGTACGTGTGTCTGTATGTGTGCCCCTATGTGTGTCTGTATGTGTGCCCCTACGTGTGCCTGTATGTGTGCCCCTATGTGTGTCTGTATGTGTGCCTCTATGTGTGTCTGTACATGTGCCCTTATTTGTGTCTGTATGTGTGACCCTATTTGTGCCCCTACGTGTGTCTGTACGTGTGCCCCTATGTGTATCTGTACTTGTGGCCTTACGTGTGACCCTATGTGTGCCCTTATGTGTGTCTGTATGCGTGCCCCTGTGTGTGTCTGTATGTGTGCCCCTACGTGTGTCTGTACATGTGCCCCTACGTGTGTCTGCATGTGTGCCCCTATGTGTGTCTGTATGTGTACTCCTATGTGTGTCTGTACATGTGCCCTTAAGTGTGTCTGTAAGTGTGACCCTATGTGTGCACTTATGTGTGTCTTTATGTGTGCCCCTATGTGTGTATGTACATGTGCCCCTACGTGTGTCTGTATGTGTGCCCCGTACGTGTGTCTGTATGTGTGCCCCTATGTGTGTCTGTACTTGTGGCCTTACGTGTGTCTGTATGTGTGACCCTATGTGTGCCCTTATGTGTGTCTGTATGCGTGCCCCTGTGTGTGTCTGTATGTGTGCCTCTATGTGTGTCTGTACATGTGACCTTATGTGTTTCTGTATGTGTGACCCTATTTGTGCCCCTACGTGTGTCTGTATAGGTGCCCATATGTGTGTCTGTACTTGTGGCCTTACGTGTGTCTGTATGTGTGACCCTATGTGTGCCCTTATGTGTGTCTGTATGCCTGCCCCTGTGTGTGTCTGTATGTGTGACCCTATGTGTGCCCTTATGTGTGTCTGTATGTGTGCCCCTATGTGTGTCTGTAAGTGTGCCCCTATGTGTGTTTGTATGTGTGCCCTATGTGTGTCTGTATGTGTGCCCCTACGTGTGTCTGTATGTGTGTCCCTACGTGTGTCTGTATGTGTGACCCTATGTGTGCCCTTACGTGTGTCTGTATGTGTGACCCTATGTGTGCCCTTATGTGTGTCTGTATGTGTGCCCCTACGTGTGTCTGTATGTGTGCCCCTATGTGTGTCTGTATGTGTGCCCCTATGTGTGTCTGTACATTTGCCCTTACGTGTGTCTGTAAATGTGACCCTATGTGTGCACTTATGTGTGTCTGTATGTGTGCCCCTATGTGTGTATGTATGTGTGACCCTACGTGTGCCCTTACGTGTGTCTGTAATATGTGCCCCTACGTGTGTCTGTATGTGTGCCCCTATGTGTGTCTGTATGAGTGCCCCTATGTGTGTCTGTACATAAGCCCTTACGTGTGTCTGTAAATGTGACCCTATGTGTGCCCTTATGTGTGTCTGTATGCCTGCCCCTGTGTGTGTCTGTGTGTGTGACCCTATGTGTGCCCTTACGTGTGTCTGTATGTGTGACCCTATGTGTGCCCTTACGCGTGTCTGTATGTGTGCCCCTATGTGTGTCTGTAAGTGTGCCCCTATGTGTGTTTGTATGTGTGCCCTATGTGTGTCTGTATGTTTGCCCCTACGTGTGTCTGTATGTGTGCCCCTATGTGTGTCTGTATGTGTGCCCCTATGTGTGTCTGTACTTGTGCCCTTAAGTGTGTCTGTAAATGTGACCCTATGTGTGCACTTATGTGTGTCTGTATGTGTGCCCCTATGTGTGTATGTATGTGTGACCCTTTGTGTGCCCTTATGTGTGTCTGTATGTGTGCCCCTACGTGTGTCTGTATGTGTGCCCCTATGTGTGTCTGTATGTGAGCCCCTATGTGTGTCTGTACATGTGCCCTTACGTGTGTCTGTAAATGTGACCCTATGTGTGCCCCTATGTGTGTATGTATGCCTGCTCCTGTGTGTGTCTTTATGTGTGACACTATGTGTGCCCTTACGTGTGTCTGTATGTGTGACCCTATGTGTGCCCTTATGTGTGTCTGTATGTGTACCCTATGTGTGTCTGTAAGTGTTCCCCTATGTGTGTTTGTATGTGTGCCCTAGTTGTGTCTGTATGTGTGCCCCTACGTGTGTCTGTATGTGTGCCCCTACGTGTGTCTGTATGTGTGACCCTACGTGTGCCCTTACGTGTGTCTGTATGTGTGACCCTATGTGTGCCCTTATGTGTGTCTGTATGTGTGCCCCTACGTGTGTCTGTATGTGTGCCCCTATGTGTGTCTGTATGTGAGCCCCTATGTGTGTCTGTACATGTGCCCTTATGTGTGTCTGTAAATGTGACCCTATGTGTGCCCCTATGTGTGTCTGTATGCCTGCTCCTGTGTGTGTCTTTATGTGTGACACTATGTGTGCCCTTACGTGTGTCTGTATGTGTGACCCTATGTTAGCCCTTATGTGTGTCTGTATGTGTGCCCCTATGTGTGTCTGTATGTGAGCCCCTATGTGTGTCTGTACATGTGCCCTTACGTGTGTCTGTATGTGGGACCCTATGTGTGCCCTTATGTGTGTCTGTATGCGTGCCCCTGTGTGTGTCTGTATGTGTGACCCTATGTGTGCCCTTACGTGTGTCTGTATGTGTGACCCTATGTTAGCCCTCCTGTGTGTCTGTATGTGTGCCCTATGTGTGTCTGTAAGTGTGCCCCTATGTGTGTCTGTATGTGTGCCCTATCTGTGTCTGTATGTGTGCCCCTACGTTTTTCTGTATGTGTGTCCCCACGTGTGTCTGTATGTGTGACCCTATGTGTGTCTGTATGTGTGCCCCTATGTGTGTCTGTACATGTGCCCTTACGTGTGTCTGTAAATGTGACCCTATGTGTGCCTTTATGTGTGTCTGTATGTGTGCCCCTATGTGTGTATGTACGTGTGCCCCTACGTGTGTCTGTATGTGTGCCCTATGTGTGTCTGTATGTGTGCCCCTATGTGTGTCTGTACATGTGCCCTTACGTGTGTCTGTAAATGTGACCCTATGTGTGCATTTATGTGTGTCTGTATGTGTGCCCCTATGTGTGTATGTACGTGTGCCCGTACGTGTGTCTGTATGTGTGCCCCTATGTGTGTCTGTATGTGTGCCCCTATGTGTGTCTGTACATGTGCCCTTATGTGTGTCTGTATGTGTGACCCTACTTGTGCCCCTACGTGTGTCTGTATGTGTGCCTCTATGTGTGTCTGTACTTGTGGCCTTACGTGTGTCTGTATGTGGGACCCTATGTGTGCCCTTATGTGTGTCTGTATGCATGCCCCTGTGTGTGTCTGTATGTGTGACCCTGTGTGTGCCCTTACGTGTGTCTGTATGTGTGACCCTATGTGTGCACTTATGTGTGTCTGTATTTGTGCCCCTATGTGTGTCTGTAAGTGTGCCCTTATGTGTGTTTGTATGTGTGCCCCTACGTGTGTCTGTATGTGTGTCCCTACGTGTGTCTGTATGTGTGACCCTATGTGTGCCCTTACGTGTGTCTGTATGTGTGACCCTATGTGTGCCCTTATGTGTGTCTTTATGTGTGCCCCTATGTGTGTCTGTATGTGTGCCCCTATGTGTGTCTGTACATGTGCCCTTATGTGTGTCTGTATGTGTGACCCTACTTGTGCCCCTACGTGTGTCTGTATGTGTGCCTCTATGTGTGTCTGTACTTGTGGCCTTACGTGTGTCTGTATGTGGGACCATATGTGTGCCCTTATGTGTGTCTGTATGCGTGCCCCTGTGTGTGTCTGTATGTGTGACCCAATGTGTGCCCTTACGTGTGTCTGTATATGTGACCCTATGTGTGCCCTTATGTGTGTCTGTATGTGTGCCCCTATGTGTGTCTGTAAGTGTGCCCCTATGTGTGTTTGTATGTGTGCCCTATGTATGTCTGTATGTGTGACCCTACGTGTGTCTTTATGTGTGTCCCTACGTGTGTCTGTATGTGTGACCCTTTGTGTGCCCTTACGTGTTTCTGTATGTGTGACCCTATGTGTGCCCTTATGTGTGTCTGAATGTGTGCCCCTAAGTGTGTCTTTTTGTGTGCCCCTACGTGTGTCTGTATGTGTGCCCCTACGTGTGTCTGTATGTGTGCCCCTACGTGTGTCTGTATGTGTGCCCCTACGTGTGTCTGTGTGCGTGCCCCTATGTGTGTCTGTAGATTTGCCCCTACATGTGTCTGTTGTGTGCTCCTATGTGTGGCTGTACTTGTGGCCTTATGTGTGTCTGTATGCGTGTCCCTGATTGTGTCTGTATAAGTGACCCTATGTGTGCCCTTACGTGTGTCTGTATGTGTGACCCTATGTGTGCCCTTATGTGTGTCTGTATGTGTGCCCCTATGTGTGTCTCTATGTGTGCCCCTATGTGTGCTTGTATGTGTGCCCTATGTGTGTCTGTATGTGTGCCCCTACGTGTGTCTGTATGTGTGTCCCTGCGTGTGTCTGTATGTGTGACCCTATGTGTGCCCTTACGTGTGTCTGTTTGTGTGACCCTATGTGTGCCCTTATGTGTGTCTGCATGTGTGCCCCTACGTGTGTCTGTATGTGTGCCCCTACGTGTGTCTGTATGTGTGCCCATACGTGTGTCTGTATGATTGCCCCTACGTGTGTCTGTATGCGTGACCCTATGTGTATCTGTAGATGTGCCCCTACATGTGTTTGTATGTGTGCCCCTATGTGTGTCTGTATGTGTGCCCCTACATGTGTCTGTATGTGTGCCCCTATGTGTGTCTGTATATGTGCCCCGTACGTGTGTCTGTATGTGTGCCCCTATGTGTGTCTGTATGTGTGCCCCTATGTGTGTCTGTATGTGTGCCCCTATGGGTGTCTGTATGTCTGCCCCTATGTGTGTCTGTGTGTGTGCCCCTATGTGTGTTTGAATGTGTGCCCTTATGAGTGTCTGTACATGTGCCCTTATGTGTGTCTGCATGTGTGCCCCTACGTGTGTCTGTATGTGTGCCCCTACGTGTGTCTGTATGTGTGCCCATACGTGTGTCTGTATGATTGCCCCTACGTGTGTCTGTATGCGTGACCCTATGTGTATCTGTAGATGTGCCCCTACATGTGTTTGTATGTGTGCCCCTATGTGTGTCTGTATGTGTGCCCCTACATGTGTCTGTATGTGTGCCCCTATGTGTGTCTGTATATGTGCCCCGTACGTGTGTCTGTATGTGTGCCCCTATGTGTGTCTGTATGTGTGCCCCTATGTGTGTCTGTATGTGTGCCCCTATGTGTGTCTGTATGTGAGCCCCTATGTGTGTCTGTATGTGTGCCCCTATGGGTGTCTGTATGTCTGCCCCTATGTGTGTATGTACGTGTGCCCCTACGTGTGTCTGTATGTGTGCCCTATGTGTGTCTGTATGTGTGCCCCTATGTGTGTCTGTACATGTGCCCTTACGTGTGTCTGTAAATGTGACCCTATGTGTGCATTTATGTGTGTCTGTATGTGTGCCCCTATGTGTGTATGTACGTGTGCCCCTACGTGTGTCTGTATGTGTGCCCCTATGTGTGTCTGTATGTGTGCCCCTATGTGTGTCTGTACATGTGCCCTTATGTGTGTCTGTATGTGTGAACCTACTTGTGCCCCTACGTGTGTCTGTATGTGTGCCTCTATGTGTGTCTGTACTTGTGGCCTTACGTGTGTCTGTATGTGGGACCCTATGTGTGCCCTTATGTGTGTCTGTATGCATGCCCCTGTGTGTGTCTGTATGTGTGACCCTGTGTGTGCCCTTACGTGTGTCTGTATGTGTGACCCTATGTGTGCACTTATGTGTGTCTGTATTTGTGCCCCTATGTGTGTCTGTAAGTGTGCCCTTATGTGTGTTTGTATGTGTGCCCCTACGTGTGTCTGTATGTGTGTCCCTACGTGTGTCTGTATGTGTGACCCTATGTGTGCCCTTACGTGTGTCTGTATGTGTGACCCTATGTGTGCCCTTATGTGTGTCTGTATGTGTGCCCCTATGTGTGTCTGTATGTGTGCCCCTGTGTGTGTCTGTACATGTGCCCTTATGTGTGTCTGTATGTGTGACCCTACTTGTGCCCCTACGTGTGTCTGTATGTGTGCCTCTATGTGTGTCCGTACTTGTGGCCTTACGTGTGTCTGTATGTGGGACCATATGTGTGCCCTTATGTGTGTCTGTATGCGTGCCCCTGTGTGTGTCTGTATGTGTGACCCTATGTGTGCCCTTACGTGTGTCTGTATATGTGACCCTATGTGTGCCCTTATGTGTGTCTGTATGTGTGCCCCTATGTGTGTCTGTAAGTAAGCCCCTATGTGTGTTTGTATGTGTGCCCTATGTATGTCTGTATGTGTGACCCTACGTGTGTCTTTATGTGTGTCCCTACGTGTGTCTGTATGTGTGACCCTTTGTGTGCCCTTACGTGTTTCTGTATGTGTGACCCTATGTGTGCCCTTATGTGTGTCTGAATGTGTGCCCCTAAGTGTGTCTTTTTGTGTGCCCCTACGTGTGTCTGTATGTGTGCCCCTACGTGTGTCTGTATGTGTGCCCCTACGTGTGTCTGTATGTGTGCCCCTACGTGTGTCTGTGTGCGTGCCCCTATGTGTGTCTGTAGATTTGCTCCTACATGTGTCTGTTGTGTGCTCCTATGTGTGGCTGTACTTGTGGCCTTATGTGTGTCTGTATGCGTGTCCCTGATTGTGTCTGTATAAGTGACCCTATGTGTGCCCTTACGTGTGTCTGTATGTGTGACCCTATGTGTACCCTTATGTGTGTCTGTATGTGTGACCCTATTTGTGTCTCTATGTGTGCCCCTATGTGTGCTTGTATGTGTGCCCTATGTGTGTCTGTGTGTGTGCCCCTACGTGTGTCTGTATGTGTGTCCCTGCGTGTGTCTGTATGTGTGACCCTATGTGTGCCCTTACGTGTGTCTGTTTGTGTGACCCTATGTGTGCCCTTATGTGTGTCTGCATGTGTGCCCCTACGTGTGTCTGTATGTGTGCCCCTACGTGTGTCTGTATGTGTGCCCATACGTGTGTCTGTATGATTGCCCCTACGTGTGTCTGTATGCGTGACCCTATGTGTATCTGTAGATGTGCCCCTACATGTGTTTGTATGTGTGCCCCTATGTGTGTCTGTATGTGTGCCCCTACATGTGTCTGTATGTGTGCCCCTATGTGTGTCTGTATATGTGCCCCGTACGTGTGTCTGTATGTGTGCCCCTATGTGTGTCTGTGTGTGTGCCCCTATGTGTGTCTGTATGTGTGCCCCTATGGGTGTCTGTATGTCTGCCCCTATGTGTGTCTGTGTGTGTGCCCCTATGTGTGTTTGAATGTGTGCCCTTATGTGTGTCTGTACATGTGCCCCTACGTGTGTCTGTATGTGTGCCCCTACGTATGTCTGTATGTGTGCCCCTATGTGTGTCTGTAAGTGTGCCCCCATGTGTGTTTGTATGTGTGCCCTATGTGTGTCTGTACATGTGCCCATGTGTCTGTTTTTCCTTCTTCCTTGATTGTTTTTATTATCCGAAGGTTGAACCAGAACTGCCCTCACTGTTTCTCTTTCCCGATGCCCACTGAGGTCACTAGTTCTCCTACCCGGTGCCCGCTGAGGTCACTGGTTCTCCTACCCGATTCCCGCTGAGATCACTGGTTCTCCTACCCGATCCCCGCTGAGGTCACTGGTTCTCCTACCCGATGCCCGCTGAGGTCACTGGTTCTGGAGAAGTATGGGAGAATATGAATATGAACACATTTACCATGTTATTCTCATTCATATGTCCGAAATGTATGCTGATTCTATGTCTTAAATTATTCTTTGCTTTAACTGCATGTTTTTAGGAAAACTTAGTAATTTTACCTTTTTAAACTTGCATTTTTCTTCAGACATAGATAGAACAAAAAATAGATTAGCCTAATTAACGAAATGAAATGGGTTATTATGGAACTTCTTGACAAAATAATCGATTATATTGGAGAAAAAAAAATTGATTATAATGGACTATAATGGATTATAATGACAACATTTTAGACAACATTTTCCCAGTATAATCGATTATTATCCATGGAACTCCGGTGCGGGACAGATTGGTATCTATAAATCATCCATAAATCAAGCTACAAAAAGGTTGACAGACTCTAAGTTACCGCAAACTATAAACTCAGGGGTATGTATTGAATATTACAATCTAAGGGTTGCACAGAAAAAACCACGCAAGATTTGAAAATTCAGTTGAACCAAATACATTTTGGCTAGAATGAACTTGCAGTAATTGTTGCACACTCTGACTCTGATTCAAAAAGTGGGTAAACATAATCACGTCATAATATGTAAAATGTGTATAATTATAAATGTTTTTGTCGCAACTGATCGCTGAGCATTAAAACAAACTAAATAATTATCAAAAATATTCAAAAACTGATTCAGCGACAATTTTTATGTAGGCGTCATCAAAGAAGTGATCTAAAACTGTGAAGGGATCTTGTTAACTATTTCTCCCCCTCTTTTTGGACGCTGTTAACTATTTCCCCCGTTCCTTTTGCATGTATTTTTTGACAACCATTTCTGTATAAATTATGCATTTCAAAAATGTCAACCACTAATTGGGTTTTCATTTTCGCGCGTTCGTATTCTCTTTTTATATATTACATACGTAAAAAAACATTTATTTATCTATAATTTCTGAAAATTGTTTTAAGCTATTGAAAATGTGGCCGCCAAAGTTGAATTTCTGAAAATCGAAATAGGGGGGGGGGGGAATCGTTAACAAGATCCCGGTAAAGTTAAGGCTAATACCTTTGCTAATATAGATCACCGGATTTTTCGGAACTCATACTATTTGACATTGGCTGTTGAGGGAGAAAAACAAACAAGTTCAAACTTTTCAATGCAATTTTTTGACGAAATTATAGAGACCAATTCAAAGAATTAGAAAGCTTACCCGCACT